TTGCAGTCCCAGGGGAGGGAGTCAGAGCTAGAACACCAATTACAAACCACAGGCTTCCTGCTCTAGGGAGTTGATCCAGAACTGTCTTTCTGGAAGGGAAGCGCTCGAATCCTTCTTCCTTCCGAACTTTCCAAGTCTATCCATGATTCAGAGCTATCGCCTTCTCCCTCTGGGATTTTCTGTTTCTGGTAGTGAATTGTTAATGAATTTGCTTTTGCTTCTTATCTCTTTCAAGAGCTGATCATTTAATATTTTGTACAAAGGGGGAAAAAAGCTTTTGTTAGGAGATTTCAGAGATGATTTTGGATCGTCTTTAAGTATTTCCAGAGTTCTTGGAGACAGTAGCTCTCATCCTGGAATAAGTTTGTGCCTCTGACCTGCATGGATTACCTTCAGGCTTCGGAATCTCAGGACACCTAACCTGTAGTGTGGGGCACAGCAGAATGAGAAGGTGGAAGAATGAGCTGCACAGTTAAGCAGTTCAGATCTTTTTAAAGCGGGATTTATAAAGGCATAATTGAATTTGTTTCACCCCGGTGGATTCCAGTGGGCTCGACAGCGCAACAGGTTTGCAGATTTGTTTTGAAATTCTTTGTTTTCTCCCTCTGCCTCAGCAAAAGTAGAGAATCTGTGTAACAGGTTCATGTTCGTTCAGTTGCTTGGCTTTGCAGCACTGATTCTGAAGACTATAAGATTTTTAAACTTGGCCTCAAAGTGCAGCAGGCTTTGTGGATGAAGAGCATTTATACTTAAGGGTGCACATTTTAAGATGTTATTTGATGTTTATACAAAGATCCAAATTCTCATAGGAGCTTAGAAGTAGCCCAGCTCTACTCTACTCAGGCCTAATTATATATTTTTCTCAGGGTGCTCTACTTAGAGTCTGTGACTAATCTCATCCCTACTCCCCCTATCTTTTATTCCCCACCCCCTCGAGGAATTTGAAAATGTGTTAAGAATGGCCCTTTGTTTTTCTTATGAATTTAGAAGATTACAGATTATAAGGTCTGGATATTAAAGTAGAGTCCAAAAACATGTCAAAGAGAATCAAAGTGCTTGGTATTCCCAAGCTGGAAAAGGAAATCTGGAATCCCTATGTGAGCAAGAAAAATGGGAAAAAATTATGAATTTTACATGGGAAACTAAAGAAAGCTAACTTTTTGAAATACCCTAATATGGTAGTTGGGAAAGGTGATGTTCAGATTTATTCTGTAGCATGTCAAAGATATATAAATTTGTGCCTAATTTTACAACCACTTTTAGTGGAACAAAAAATATTATAGCATGTCCAAGTTCATGAACAGTCTATAAATGCAGTGGGCCTAGAACTTGGAGCTCTGTTGAAATACAATTTTACATGAAAACTTTTATGAGTGCATGCCGTTGGCATCTTTAGACATCTCTCCAGGTGTGACTTGAATTTTTAAATCTTCACCATTCCCCTATTAATAAGAAAACCCCCTCGTAATCTTTAGTAGTTTACAGTTGACACATTTTCTGCCTTAGAAAGGGCCATCTCTGCATTTTCCAAGCTGGACTTCTTCATTCTCACCTTTGATGCATGGCCTTCGCTATTTACTTTGCCTTGTTTTGTTCATCAACGTTGGGTCTAGTGCCCCAGCAACTGATACATATGGAAGACCAACAGCAAGCGATCTGACATAATAAAAATTCACGTTCAATCTCGAGTACATTTGGAAATTTCACAAAGAAGTGGAGGTATTTGTAGCCACAGTGAAGATGGGAGAAAACGACATACCTGCAACAGAAGTGGGCTAAAAAAACCCTCTTCTCCTCCTAATCAGGAGTGCTACCTGTGCTTGGGAATATACTTTAGAAAGAGGAAGGACCAAAACTCTGACTTGGCTTTCTGAAACTGAAGCATCAATTCTCTTTCCTTCCGTTTTCTGGATCTGAGAACCTGCCTTTGGTCTTAGCTAGTGGAAGCAGTATGCATGGCCGAAGAGCCTTGATGCAGCTGGTAGCATGAGTGGTGGCCACCAGCTGCAGTTGGCTGCCCTCTGGCCCTGGCTGCTGATGGCTACCCTGCATGCAGGCTTTGGACGCACAGGACTGGTATTGGCAGCAGCGGTGGAGTCTGAAAGATCAGCAGAACAGAAAGCTATTATCAAAGTGATCCCCTTGAAAATGGACCCCACAGGAAAACTAAATCTCACTTTGGAAGGTGTGTTTGCTGGTGTTGCAGAAGTAACTCCAGCAGAAGGAAAATTAATGCAGGCAAGTATAACTTCATTGTATTTCACTTTCCATCTGTTTGAAATAGGCCTTTCTTCTTTTGTCTGACAAACCAAATACCATACAAGGACTTCTGCCTACTTTCTGTTTGTTTGATCTTTTAAAGATCCTGCCTTCTAGGCAGTCTAAAGCAAATTCTTATTTCATACTTGAAGAAATACATACATTCTATGTTTTAGAAGATAATTTGTTTATTTTTTAACTGGTGTTGCATAGCCTTTTAGGGTATACATAATAAAACTTTTCTTTCCATGTGTATATTTTAGGCACTATTTTTTGAGAAATGAAATATTTGGCTTATATTTATTTAATTGACCTGAGGAGTAGAGTTTATGTCTTGTTAAAATGTGAATGTTGATTTTAGTGGTCATTAGAACCCTGAAATTCTAGAATGCCCTTGGAGCATATTTGATTACAGTGTCACTTTTAAATTCAGTCAAGCTTGAATGCTATGGCTGGCTTTCTACCACGTGTGGCACCCTCTTGCTAAGCCCAAAATGGAGAGGACTGGATAACAAAATGGACACAGGATGAACCTACTCCTTTTGGGCTTATGCACACATCATTTTTTAAATATTAAAATTCAGAATTTCAAAAGTTTAATTTGCCTTTAAAAAAATTGACTCAGAGCTTTTCTGATATAGTTTCTCGGGCTTTCAGGGTGTGAATGTTGTCGGTAACTCATTCGCAGCCTACACATCTTCTTTATATGTTGAATTTATGAACTTACTATGGCCATCGCCTTCCTTAGACTAACTGCTCATTTTGCATGGCAAAGACAGAGCTTAGAGGAATGTACCTTTTAAATGGGCGATCTACTGTTTTACTTTAGAAAATGGTATTGCTTGTTTCTTAAAATTCTTCTTGTAAAATGACCCCTCACTGTAGCTCTTGGAGGCCAGTTAAAATGTTCTTAAATACGATGACTCTCAGCATCCAAACTCAGATTTTTATTATATGTACGAACTATGAATTCTATCCCATAGTTATATGAATTTAACCTTTTTGGCTATTTGCAGAAAGAAGGTAGGAACAGGGAATGAATTACAGAATTATTTTTCAAACACAAGTGTTTTCATGTATGGTTTACCGGTTCTTCACCGTACTTCTTCGCAGTGTTTTGAAACCAGGATAAATGAAGTAGGTGAAGAATTGGATGAAGTGCGAGATTTTGTTGGTTAGAAAGACAAACAGGAAAGAAGAATATTATCTGAAAAAATGGCATAAGATTTTTTTTAAGATAAGAGTTTATCATTTAGTTTAGACTCTAGGATGGAATTAGGAATACTTCAAAGCTGAAATCCTAAATTATTTGGAATATAGTAGTTGAAAAGGAAATTTGTTTCCTGACCTTGCCCTGTCAACAGGTTGAACCATGAGCTGTGTGTTACATTTTAATTTTTAGCATAAGTCATTTTTCTATAAAGCCATGTTTTGGTGTCTCTGAAGTCTTTGGGAGCCACCCTAAGCCTGGTGCCTTATATCCTGTGATAACATTTCAGCAACGTAATGATGTGCTTTGTAAAACAGTTTCCTCCTTTATTTCACATTTGTCGTCTTCTGTTGTGATGAAACTCTCATATAAAGCTTCTGTGTTTTCATGGAAGGAGAGGTGGGTGAGAAGCCCCGGCTCACATTCCCTGTCACCCATTGTTATCAGTCTCTTCTGTGTCTTACTCTACCTTTGTTCCACTCTGGCAAATCTTGCTAATGTTTTGGGTTTTTTAACTATTAACTTGGAGGCCATCAGTGTTCTTTAAGTATTGTTTCTTTACTTTGTGAGAAGGGGACTTTCATTGTGTCCTAGTAAGAACTTTAAAGCTTTTTAGCACACAGTTTTACATCACTGACAATTTTTAGTCTTTAATTTTTCTGCCCATATGTGTTTCTTTTAGGTCATTAATAAAATTTTACAGTGGCCTAGTACTAAGCTCTGAATGTGTCAGTATTGCTCCTTGTAATATTGTGAATCAGTTTTTTTTTATCCTTGGCCGTTAACTACATTCCTAATTACCTCTTATGGGAAACTTGTTTTATATATATATATAAAATCAGGTTTTTTAAATCTGTTGTTTGATTAACTCTTTCAAAGGGCTCTAGTTTGTTAGGAACACCTGGTTTATACATCTAGAATCCATGCTGTTTTTTCCTTATCAGATTACAGTGCAACTCAAGTTTACTCAACTGTGGTTAACCAAGCCTTCCATTTAAATGAAGTTCTGCTTCTGTCTCCTAGATTTACACATTAGCTTTCTTGGTAGCTAGCTGTACTCCAATAATATAAGCTGTCTGTGAATTATTTATTCCTGTTAAGATTAATTGTCTCTAAAGATTCAACTGGGTCTTTGTAAAATTATTCTACACTGGAACATTAGATATTTCTTTCCATTTTTCCAAATGAATTCAGTGTACATACAATTTAAAATAAAATAGACCATAGTTACCTCTAAAGTAAGTTTGCTTTTCTTACCTTTTCCTGGTGGTTGTATACACAAGCACTGTAAGCCAAGCAGAGATGAATTTTTGTCTATATTCTTATCCCTTACCCTTTATGTTTAGATATCTCTTTGTGAACAATAATATCTGGGTTTGTTTCTTTGTTTTGTTTTGATGTGTGTGTGTGTGTGTGTGTGTGTGTGTCTGTCTGTCTGTCTGTCTTGGGATTGAACCCAGAGCCTTTCCCATGCTAGACAAATGCTCTACCATTGAGTACTCCAAGTTTTAAATTGTAATTTTCTTCTAAAAGTACTTCCTTCTGAAAGCTGAAAAAGGAACTGTCTTTGCTACATATTGCCTTCCATTCCATTCCAGAATTTCCCATCTTAGTTCTGACCAAATTATATTACTTCCTATTTTGCCTGAAAGTTCTTTCTTGGCCTTACCATACCATTTCAAATCATTGTGGAGGTTTGCTGTTGTCTTTGAAGTGTTGGACCCTTAGGTTTTCCCTACATTTGCCAAATTCTTTCTCTCTTCCTCTTCTTTAATTTCCTTCTACCTTTTTTCCTTTTGTTTTCCACCTCATTTGCAGACTTAGAATAACCTACCACTGCTGTTTAGTTTAGTTTAGCTTTGTTTTTTACTTGCCACCAAAAAAACAGGTCAAGGAAACTTTCTAGATCTCTTAATTATTTGATGGTGACTCTTTTAAAGAGGATTATATCATGCTGATTACAACTTATTTTTTCATTTAAATAATTCTTTGTTTCCTAGTTCATACCATTTTGGATAGAAAATGTATTCGAACTTAATGCATTGCCTAATTTTCACTTTCTGGTTTGTTTTGTCATCTATGTTTGTTTCTCTTGTTGTTATCTAGCAATATTGTTGGTGTCACTTCTAAAAAGGATTATAGTTGTACTTTCTTTGTAAGTATTATTTACAGGAACAACTCAAAATTCATCTTCTCAGAGCCAAAGAATAAGAGGATCTTGGTGTAGCACAAGAGAGGTCACCAATTCTGTAACTATCACATTCTTCCTGCTCAGCTGGTTGTCCTGGATTTTCTTAGACTCCAGGATAAAGTTATGATCAAGATTAGAATTCACTGCCTGGAGGCTTCAAGGCCTGCAGTGAGAGCCAGGGATAGTTTCACATTTGGCCAGTAACAGCAAACGCCTCCTGGACAAACTCCCTTTTGCCAACATTTTTACTTGCTTTCCAGTTGTACTTATTAGTCAACACGTTTGAATTTTCACCTCATTTGTAGTGAGCACCTAGAAATTCAAAATTACAGTTTTTTGAATAACCGAACAGCTACCTAAGGAAATTGAGCCTAAGTAGTTGTATGATTTAGGACAAATTAGTTTTTAACCTTTGTAGGTGCTAGATTCTCTGTGAAACTGAGGGATTTAAATGTACCAGCTGCCAGGCTGATGCTCTTCATTTTACACTGATTAGCTCACTGAATGCTTATAATAACTTCGTGAGAGAAAGAGTTCCATATTCTTATTTTTCACATTTTACAGAAAAGGAAACTGAGGACTTAATATGTGCGAAGGTAAGAATTAGTATTAGGAAGTAAGTGACACAGGCAGAGCGTGGACTGCAGAGTCGTGGTTCTCCAGCCCTGTACATTTAAGCATGCTGAAGACGACCAGAATACCAGAGTGGGAGCCATATAATTCATTTCCAAAGTGGAAAGGATGGGAAGTAATGAGTGCCATTATCTGAGGTTGGCGCAGAACACACGGTGTTCTTCTACCTTCTAGTAACCTCTGTGTTTCTATTCTTTCTCTCTTTATGTTTGATTTGCAGAAATATGAGTAAATCAGAATGTTTACTCGGTCTCTCTGTTTCATAGCCTTTCTCCTCATTTGAAAATGTGATGGCTACTAGTACAAGAACTCAAAATAAAAAAACTTGGAAATAGCGTGCATTTAATTTGTGCTGCACAGATTTGAGTTCCTTGGATGCAGATTTCAGAGTAGATTTTATAGATTTTTGTTTTGATGCCAACCTTTAAAAGAAGTACAGAGTAAATAGACAAGGTACAGTCAACTCTCAGTTATTCATGTTAACGGAAGTGTATAAAATCTAATAACTGACTTTGGAACGTAGTCAGAAATGTACTGTCAGACACAAAGTGTGCCCAGATGATCCTGCTCAGAGACTTCTAAAATTGGCTTTATTGTTAGAAGCCTGGCATCCCAAGGAGAGAAGAAGCTTCAGAGTATGTTTAATGATAAATACTTTTTCAGGTTAAGAATCTATCTCTTACTGAGAATGGTGGCACAGGCCTGTGATCCCAGCACTCAGAACACTGAAGCAGGAGAGTTAGGAGTCAGAGGCCAGCCTGGGCTACCTAATGGGTTCAAGGCCAGCTTGGGCCACTTAGTGAGATCTTGTCTCAAACAAAGAAACAAACAAAATAAAAACAACAAAACCAAAAAGATAATCTCTTTTGTGATTACTTGTCGAGTAGGTCTGAATATACATTCTGAATTTCATGTAGAAATTTTAAAAAATTAAGTTCAAATCCA